AAGATGACCCCCCGTCGCCGCATATTATGCAGAGTGGGCTTGGTGCATGGGAATCTCCTGTTGAGATAAATCCGGATTTTAAGTAGGACTCCTGATACTGTCTATTAAATATAGCCTTCTTTTTCTTGAACATCGTCGGCTCCTCTTCCGTCTCCTGGCTCGGCCTTTTCTCCTTCCCAAAGAAACTTTCGCAAGACATTTGTTTTTCACTCGTTTTGCTAGCTCCTGGGTTTCATTTTAGCGCTAACCAATCATGTGACCGAGAAGCACTCCTTGACCTGCTTCAAGAGTGTAGACGGATGTTACGGAGAATCCGCTAACTTTTCAAAATAAAATATTTTTCAGATTCCGAAATAAATACAACTGAAGTAATGTAAGTCCTCCATTCTTTCTGTGGTGCCCGGTACCAAATGACCCACAGACCGATACCGGTCCGCGGCCCAGGGGTTGGGGACCCCTGATTGAAAGCAGCGGCCTCTTATAAAAATAAAACAACAAATGAATGGATGAGTTGAATTGGGTTCGCCACTCTTGCCCTAAAAGCACTTGAAACGGCGACCGTGTTGATGTTTGGAACTCTTCTTCCGATGCAGCCCGAGGTTCCGTTCTTTGTGCTGGAGGGACTCGTGAGGTATTGAGTTCCCCGTATCCATCATTTTGGACGAGTCGGGACCTCGGAGGAGCGCCAACGGCGATGTCTCCGCTAGCCAGCCGTAACTGACTTTGGAGTGCATTGTTTCCAGCGGGAAGCTCAGCGCCGTGGCCTAAAGGTACATTCCAGAGATCAGAAACACAAACAGTCTTTGTGCCCCCGCCGCTCTCTTCGCCCGACTCCCTCATCCACATCAAGCCTCCGCAGCCAAACGGCCTCCTCCGGCTCGTGTGTCAACATGTGGGCTATCGTTTTACTCGCATCCCAGATACACACACACACCACACACACACACACGCACGCGTACGCACCGCACACACTCGTTTGTCATTCGGATGGTGACAATGTCGGCCTCTTTGAGAGGGACTGTGAAATCAAGGCATTTTCTTGAACAAATAGTATTCCAGTTTTGTTGACCTTTCGTCAGTGGAAAGGAAGGGTACATGTCACAGATATTGGGCAGAACAAAATTCCACTTCATATAAAAAAAAAAAATCTCTAATCAATAAAATAACCTCTTTTTTGCTCCTTTTAATGTTTACAACAATAAAGATGTCAATTACAGGCATAATATTTGGGAGCACGCTTCGTCCAATGTTTCTTTGGTGGGGAAATGTTTGTTTATGTTGTAATGTGTGAAAGTGTGTGTGAAACAAACGTTCTGGGTTTTTTTTTTGGTTTTGTTTTTCCTGTTTTGACTACTTTTTATAATCCGATTAAATCGGTCGTACCCTAATAGTACCCATTATTAAAATTAATTCCCTAAAATTTCTTATTTCGGAAGTGTGTATCAAACTGGTTGTCTCTCTCTCTCGCTCTCGCTCTCTCTCTCTCTCTCTCTCTCTCTCTCTCTCTCACACACTTAAAATAAAAAATCAGTACTGTATACCCTTGAAGTAACTCTCAGCGTCAAAAAAGTTGACGACCCTTGGTCTCGTCCATGTGAAATGAGAAAAAAAAATCTGTATCTGATGCGTAAATGATGCAAGAAATCGAATGATGCAGCGGTGTTGCACAGTGTAAATGTTCAAGTGAGCAGGATCACAAAGGAAACGTATTACACAGTGTGGCTGACATTGTGATTCGGATCGAAATAATTTTGGATTCGAAATGAGCAATTGACTTGAATAATGTATAGTGGGTTATTTGGAGGATCTCCAAGCAAGGAAACACTGGTCTAGACAATCAGTTTGAAGAGTTGTAACCTCAAGCCTTTAAGTTTTGTTGTCCTTCCCCCTTCCTCCTCCTGGGCCGAACTCCCGCCCTCCACACGTCAAAGCCACAACAAGGGGGGGGGGGGGCAACCAATGAGCTGCTGCGGGCTCCCGAGTGGAGAGGGGCCGGGGAACTCGCACACAAAATGCCCATAGGCGAGAGATCGCCGGACCACTTTGCAACCTACAAGTCTTGTTGTTTTCTCCTCCTCCTTTGCACAAGTTTGTTCGCGCTCCACGACGCGCACGGACTCTCCAAGGATCGGACCCGGTCCACTTGGAGGACTTTTGGGGGGAACTGAAGCCGTTCTTCTTGTTGTTGTTCGCCGAGATCCGGGCGGAGAGGAAGAGGGGGTGCAATGGAGCGCTGAGATGGAATGATTTGTCCATGAAAAAGTTCCCCAAACAACTTTGGGCGTCTCGCGTTTTGGATAAATGGGCACGCGTAGTGTTGACGCAGCCGGGATTCCACGGCAGCCCGTTGAAGGGGCTCGCGTTTTCGGATTAACCTTCCTGGAAGCGGCGTTCAAGTTTGCCCGATGACTCTGCTGCGAGCTTTAGCGTGCACCACCACCACCATGGCAACCTTCGGCGCGATGGCGCGGACTCTCCGCCGCTCGCTCGGCCCGCTAACGTGCGTGCTTTTGCTCGCGGCGTTGTCCGCCGCCTCGCCGGCCCACGACGGGAGACTGATCTGCTGGCAGGCCATCTTCAACTGCCGAAGTGAGCCCGAGTGCAATTACGCCTACGATCAATACCAGCGCGCCTGCGCGCCGGTGCTGAAAGGGGACAGGAAGTGCCCCAGCCATTGCATCGCGTCCCTGGTGCAGCTCAATTTAACCCGCAACGGACCCTCGCTGGAGGACTGCAGCTGCGAGCGCGACAAGGCGTGCGCGCTCACCAAGCAGGCCATCGAGCCTTGCTTGCCCCGGATTACCAGCTCCGGGTGCACGGCGGCCCGGGCGCAGTGCCTGAAAGACCCGCCGTGCAACTCCGCCTTGGACGACTACATGAGACACTGCGGCAAACTTTTCAGCAGCCCCGTGTGCACCGACGCGTGCCGCAACGTGATCGCCACCATGCGCAAAATCCCCAAGGGCCAGCAGCTGGACACTTGCATGTGCGACGGCGAGGAAAGGCTCTTCTGCGAGTTTGTCAAGAGCAACATGAAGCTGCGGTGCTTCGACGCACCGCAGGCGGAGGAGGGCAGCGGCTCGCACGACGACTACGACGCGGAGGAGGACGACGACGACTACGCGGAGTCGGACTACTGGCCGGAGTCGGAAAGCGGAGCTTCTCGAGCGGAGGTCCGCTGGGTTTCGACCCTCTTGCTGGCATCCATTTTGGCTCTAACGCCCCTCTTTTGATCATCGGCCTGGGGACTGCGTGGACGTTTGAATACAGACTTTAGTGGAGATTCTATTTTCTATGCAAATGGCACCAGAGGGGATACTTTGATAGCTCACACATTCACCAGATGCTCGGCTCATGCATTGCGATAAACTACACGAGATTGTTCAACTTTTCACGTGGAGCCTGATAAGAGTCCAGCAGCAGTGTTTCAATCCACGTCATGCTGTGTACTGCCAATCTTTTTCTATATTTTTGTTTTTCTTCTCACACACACACACAAAAAAAAAGATATGAGCTATTTTTATATGACTGACTGTTGTCTTTTTGGGCATCTGATTTTACAAGTATTTAATGCTGGAATCGAAAACAAATGTACATAACAGAAGGGTGAAAGAGAAAATAATTTATTACATGCCAACTACTCACATCCAAATGTTTGTCGTGTGATTAAAAGACCCCAGAATTCCAGCCAGCTTTAAAGGGAAGTTCTTATCGTCTGCATTCTTTTTGTACATTGTATATATGTGTATAGCCGATATAGATTTGTTTCTTACCTTCCTCAGAGAATCCTCTATGGTGCAGGCTATGTGCTGATTTATGGACTGTGTGTAGCCTATAGAAAGAAATGTCTAAATCCACTGTATGGTTGCCTTAATGATATACTTTTAAAGAAGGCATAAAGGAAAACTTGAATACATCATCCTTGACTCTGACTTGTTTTTCTAGAGTGATTTAACACTTTGGGGGTAGACTCCTATTTATGGAAATGTTGTTTTCGACTAAATGTGGGGGGGACTTTTCTCAAGTCAAATAGCAGGTCTTAAATTATCCGGGAAATGACAGAACGTCAAAGCTCTTTTTTGTGCATTTGCTTGACGTCATCGATGGTCGTGACCATGGTTTATACCCTGTGATGGGCCCTCCCCCCCCCTTTTTTTTTTCTTTTTCATTTTTTTGGGTGAGGGACTGCCTAATGACCCACTGGCTGTTGTCAAACACAACTGCCAGCATAAACCGAGAAAAACACCCCCCCGTGCCGCTCGACTGCTCTCCGGTATCAGCCTTGGCAAACATACAGTATGTGTTTTGCTTGTCAAGGAAAGCCGGGATTTGAGCAATTCTCTTCAGGTAACTTTTAATCCTCGTGGGACAGGGAATGTAATTCCATCCATCCATTTTCCTACAGCGCTTGTCCCCAGTATGGTCACGCCGAGCTCAACAGCTGATTTGGGGCGAGAGGCGGGGCGCACCCTGGACTGGTTGACGGCCAATCACAGGGCGCGTCTCGTCGGGCAAGCATTCACGCCATCACTGCACTACCAGTGTAGAGTGAACGACAACAGCTTCACTGAGCCAATGGTGATTTAATACAGTAATTACAAAAGCAAATATAGAGGGGGGGGAACAAACTTTTCACGCTTACATTCACAATTGTGGATCAAGACAACTCATAGGGTGATCCAAAAAAATGTACTGCTACGAATAAAAACCTAAATATTTGTTCAAACCTTGGGTCATAATTGTTTCTTTGAATGAGTATGGCTCTCGGAAAACTTTCGCAAAACTGAAATGTGCCCTGGTAGCCCATATGGACCTCATGAGTGGTCCACTGCTGGACCAGAGATGACAAATTTAGAAATTTTTTTTTTCCTAGAAATGATGCAGAAGTGATCATTTGAAAATGTAGATGCATATATAAAAGCAGTTCCTATTCATATTTATCTGTTTCCTACCTTGTCAACTCACCGGTGATCATTTTTTGTGAGAAATCATGAACATGATCAGCATCTTCGCATACGTGAATATCATTAAACATTAAAACTAGCATTTAGTGTAACTCAAAAATGACTTATGGTGGAATAAGCGTGTGAATGACGGAACGCTGAATGAATAAATGTGGAACGATATTGTATGATGTTGAATTCCGTTTCATGGAATGATATTGACGCGGCACGGTGGTCGACTGGTTATAACGTCCGCCTCACAGTGCAGAGGTCCGGGTTTTGATTGCAGCCTTCCTGTGTAGGGTATGCATGTTCTTCCCGGGCCTGCGTGGGTTTTCTCCAGGTACTCTGGTTTCCTCCCACACTCCAAAAACATGGACGGCAGTTTACTGAAACGCTCTAAATTGTTCCGAGGTGTGAGTGTGAGCATGAATGGTTATTCGTCTGTGTGTGCCCTGCGATTGGCTGGCAACCAGTTCAGGGTATACCCAGCCTGCTGCCGGGAAGTCAGCTGGGATAGGCTCCAGCATGCCCGCAACGCTCGTGAGGATACGTGGCTTGGATTATGGATGGATGGATAGAAAGATATTGATGAAAAAAATGTGGCTCGATATGGAATGATCTGGAATGACGTGGAATGATTTTCAATGATTTGGACGAATACTGATGAAAATGTGCAATATGTTGGTGTAGCATGTGGGATGATATTGAAAAATATGGAATGGTGTGCTGGCTTCGTATGGAATTGAAACTGAATGATATAGGATGATGTGGAATTGTTGAACAGTGGTGGGACTGTTGCAAATCATTCGCAATGTAAATCGGAAGAGCTGCACATTTACGATTTGGAATGGGAATGATGGGAATCTGTCATGTTGAATTTGTCATTGGCAATGAATCGGGAATTTCGGGGTGAAAAATGTGGTGTTATGGGGGCATTTTTGGAATGTGAAACACAGTAACCCGCAGATACGGTTTCATTGTATTTCCAATTCAAAATCATTTCTGACCTTACTAATCATATAAGAAGCGCATTTTTGAAAAAAAAGTGTTTACATGCAGCCGTATTGCATATGTACAGTTGTTTGTTGATGTCCTCGGTCAATGATTTGCAGCAAAATGCTTTATTTGGAAGGTGGAGGGGGGGCGGTAGAGGGCCCTCGAACTGAATGGATGGAGGAGAAGTCGAGTGGCATCTTTGTCATGGAAATGTTAAGCACATAATAGTTGAGCGGGACAATGGCGAGGCACTTCATTCTTTCAGGCCGGCTTGACACCTCTGGAGAGGCGAGCGGCAGGGAAGCATGTGGGAACGATCTCGCTTCAGCCGCCGGCCGGGCTGCCGGGCTCCTCGAAATGCTGGCAAGAGACGCTTTTTGTGAAATGATCTTTTCCATGAGTAATTGCTGCTTCTGCCGCCATGAGACGGCGCAACAAAACCTCAGTGAAAAAGCCCGTATTCGTCAGCAAAGCCTTCTTTATCTTCTGCCAACGTTGCGTCCCTGAAAAAGTCCCCTCGCATAAAGTTTCCCCGGCGTGGTGCGGTATCAGCGTGCAGTCCGCCGTGCAGTGATGCAGCAGGAGAAAAGCTCAGGAGCCCAGCATGTCTTCCCCTCCTCCTCCTCCTCGTCTTTCTTTTGCCTCTCACACTCGCGCAGGCAGATTCGACACTGAGGGGGGAAAAAAAATAAAAAAGCACAGCATGCACCCAATAATAGTCAAGGGTGTAAATGGATGAATGTGGAAAAAGGAAAAACCTTCCAAAACCGGTCGAGTTCTTGTCATGAAAATGGAAATGTGAGGGAAATGAACTTGAAAGTTTGGTGCGCGAGATGCAAGGAGTTTTCACTTCGGGCCCTCCATACACCATCTCAACTAAAATAATCGATTTGCAATTTGGAGTGAAGGGTTTAACCTTGAATTAAATTGGAATCCGTTCACACATACCACCATTCCAAAAGTCTCTGATTAACCCCAAATTCATTTTGATGTTCTCGTAGGCTTTCCAGACTTGTTGTTTTCTAGCAGAGGCCTAAAGTTATAATTATTATTATTATTATATAAAAATATGCTGCATTTTTTGCTGACATCGACTGCTATTTCAAACTATTAATAATTTCTTACACCTTCTCTAAGGCCCAAGTTTCAGATGAAGAAAAACAGCCACAAAACATGATTCCACCACGACCATGTTTTATTGGAGGTTTGGCGCAGATTGAGTGATGAGCAGCGTTTGTGTTTGCGCTGAACTTTTGGAATGACGGCCAAAAGGTTCAATCTTGGTGTCATCAGACCCATTGCAAAAATTTTCCATTTGGGAAATGTCAGCAAAAGGCCACGTGAACAGCTGAAATTGATTTGAGGCACTTTGAATGGTGACAGGCATGCGCTGACTCCCATTTAATGTGAGTGATGAGTGCATTGTGTACACAGCCACGTCCCAGTTTTAGGAGGGTGTGCACACTTGTGCAATCTCATTATTTCAACCTCTTGTTTATTTTTACCTCTTGAAAAGATTTTAAAATACTCTTTAAGAGTTATACGGGTTATAAGTCACATCATGGTGGAAAAAAGTTTTGAAATGTCATCATTTTTTAAAAATAGAGCCAGGTATTTGAACAGGGGTGTGAAGACTTTTTATATCCACCGTATGCTATGTTGGTGGATATGAGTTGAAAGAAGTCGCACCAAATATGCTTTTCAAAAGCAATAAACATACAATGTTGTGGAGTGCAAGTTCTGGGTTTCATTTACCAACGCTCTCTATTTGCGTTCTGTCTATTTTTTATTTTTTTTGTTGCTCTTGTGTAAAAAATATTTTGGGCCACAAGCTTTTTCGCTGCCTTTCGGTCTACCAAGCACACTTCACCCCCCGTGCCGATCTCCTCGCCCCCTCACCTCAAGCGCACTATTGCAGGACAATGTTTAGAAAACCGCAGTGGTCTCTCGCCGACGATGCTGCGGTTGGAAGCCACATGTGGCCCGCTTCTAATAAAGAACTGGAATAATCCCCGCAACCATTTTGTCAAGCAAGCCCGAGCTGAAATCCATGTTTTCGTTTGGATCCCGGCTCAATAAGTTAGCCCGAGGACAAGGCAAAAATAATTGCAACGACTTTATTGCTCACAGGGATACTCTACCACATGGAATGTTTAACCTTAGCCCCACTTTTCCTTGCAGTGTTTTCACTTAAAATCTTGGCATCTGTTTGGGGTGACGTTTCTTTCCCCTTGTTGAGGTAAATGAAAAACTGACGTGGAATGTGATCTCAGCAGGAGCTTTTGCCCCCCCCCGCCCTTGCCCTCCCCGCCCCACCTTCCCAAAACTCCAAAATGTTCCAGTTTGCTCTCTTAAAATGATTCCTGCGTCCACAGTATAGCATTCATATTTAGTTTGAGATCAGAGCGTCTGTTTTTCCATACTCATAAATCATTGTTGGAAGGTCAGCTGAATCTGTAAAGTTGAATACAAATATTGAATTTGAATTGCATTTGGGGAAAAACAATTACAGATTCGTTAAATGGTCAAGCATGATGTCACATGCGAGCAGAAGTGGGAGTAATAAGTCACAGATGTGCAAGTCTCAAGTTGTCACTTTCAAGTCTCAAGCAAGTTACGTACTGTGTGTGTGTGTGTGTGTGTGGGGGGGGGGGGGTCAAGCAGGACGAGTCAAGTCGTACAATCTTGCTCAGGCACAACAAATATTGGTGTGATACTAATCTAACACTAAATCGTACATTTACATATTAAAAAGGTAAATAAACACCAACTGAGATGATGATTAATTGAATTTATTGCACTGCATTGTTTTGAAGTTGCATTTCTACTTGCTCTGCTAGTTCGAACCAAGCTATCCAAGATCAAACCCCGGTCGTTCTTTCTTGACTACAAAGACAAACTGTGTTTAAATGTAGATTTCCAACTGTTAGCAAGATGACTTGTCAAGTAGTGAAAGTCAAGTCGAGTCTCTTGGATA